GGCAGGAATGCAGATTTCGACAATACACTTCTTCAGCAGTTTCCTAAAAACCCCATCTGAGGCTTTCTCAGCATTCAGAGAAATGATAGCTGCTGGCTTTTGTTTATTTTAAATTAAAGCAGGACTATTGGTTAAAAATCCGACGTCGTCAGAAGCTGGACCACCATTTATAAATCCTGCTGGATGCACAATAGTTTGAAGAGCACCATGTAATCTGCAGATAAGAGGGCTGTTAAAATCTCAGCATCCGCATTGATCCAGGAATAGAACTACGGTTAGGAAGCTTGCTGGAATCCTTGTCCTGTCCAGGAATAACAGTGGCATTTACCTCACATAAACTAAAAGCCCGGGATTTCTTTGTAAAAGCTTCACCAAATACCTCTGTAGGAGGCAAAACTCCAGTATCCCGATCTACTGGAAGACCATCAAGTTCATAGATTTAGTTGGATCTTCAGAAACCCCAAAATCAAAATTTGGGTGTTTGTGACCTTGGCCTCCTACGCTGTTCTTCCTGTCCAAAGGTTCGGGAAGTCCAAGCAGGGATGTCCAGAAAATTTCCCTATCTCTTTAATGCAGAGCCTGATTAATATAAGTCACAAGGTCTCCTTCCTTATCACCAGTTGGGGGCGTTTGTCAGAGGGAACAAGGAGGAGGGTCAGCTGGTCTGACGTCATGGGCTTGGTCTGGACTGCTGCTGTTTGTAGACTGGGGGCCTGGATTGTTCCCGCTGGCCCAGAGAGCTGTCCTGACCGAAGCCTTCTCACGGGGCGCTGGGCTTCAAGTCCCATCCTCCCTGTCAGTCTTCCCGTGGGCAGTGTGCAGAATTGAGCCCGTTGTTCCTGCCATGCTTGTTCTTGAGTGCCAGGAGAGGCAGGTCACCCTCTCGGGTCAGCGGGATCCTTTGGGGCCCCTGGAACCCCTGGATCCAAACCCCGGGGCTGCTTCCTTGTTGGTGCAGGTGACCTTCGAGGACGTGGCTGTTTACTTCTCCCGGGAGGAATGGGAAGAATTAACCGAGTGGCAGAGGGAGCTCTACCAGGCTGTGATGATGGAGAATTACGAGGCAGTCCTTTCCTTGGGTAAGAATGACTTCGCTGCTCATGTCCTGGAGGGAAGAGGGTGACTGTTGATGTTGGAAGAGGTGTAAGAGCTCCCTTTCCAAAGATCTCCCTGGCCCAGCTTTGTGTCTCCAACAGAGGTCAGCTGGATGCTTCTGGGGAACCTGCAAGCAGCAAGATGTGAAGGCAAGAGGCCCTCCCTCGTTGGGTCAACCTTCTTTGATGGTGGAGGTTCCATTTCACTATCAAAGGCCTTGCTGAGCGACCTCCATGGCCTTCTCCGGTCCTTTTAGACTATCAGTGGTGCCTTGCTGGAACAGACTGAAGCATCCTCTCCCTGAGTGTGGTCAGCTAGAGATCTCCCAAAGCTTGGAAAAGTAGCTGGAGAACATTTGGTTGACAGACACTTGGTCTCTGAGTATGGAGCTGCTTCAGTTAATGCTTAGAAAAGCCACCAGACCTCGTGATATTGAGTCTGTCTTCCAAATGCCATGCTGGCTTTGGATGATGCGATTCGTAGTCCAACAGCTCTGAAGGGTGTTGTAGAACATTCGGAAGGGGCTATTGAGACCCTCGAATCTAACCTCCTGCTCAGGGCAGGAATGCAGATTAAAGTATTCCTAGAGAAGGCGGTCCAGCCTCTGCTTGAACACCTCCGGGGACGAGGAGCTCACCGCCTCTCTGGGCCATCGGTAAGGAAGTTTTCTCTAACGTTCATTCAGAATCTACCTTCCCGTAACGGAAGCCCATCATCCTGCACACTGGGACAAGAAAGAAGAGGTCCTCACCTTCTTCTGGGTGATGTTGTCTGACGTCGTTTCAGGCTGGTGAAGAGGGCTTTCCCCTCTGCTCAGACTCTGCGGGCCCGTTTCCTTCTGTCTCCTTCCATGGGACTCGGTTCTGATCCCCACCATCCTGGATTTCCCTTCCCTGAACCGGGTCCAGTTTCTCTGAATCCTTCTGGAAGTGCAGAGTGCCTAGAAATTAACGGGATCTGTCGTTTCCACTTCTTGTGGTTTGGAAAGCATATTATTCAGGAAATCCTGAATGGTATTGCCACGTGACTTCCAATTCCCAGACCTTCAGAGGGGAGACTTCATCTCTATCCTTTGTCTTGGTGACTGGAGAAAGCCCCAGCTCCAAACAACTATTTCATTCCCCAAATCTCCCAGCATGAGAGCAGAGGGAGGCTGGTTAGCACACTGGGGAGGGCAGCTCTCCCTTCCTGTGGGGTTTGGGGCTTCAATAGATGTGGAAATGGGAAGAAACCACTTGGTCTTTGCTCTCCTCTGTTTTCAACAGGCCATCTGCCCATCAAGCCACAGATCATTAGCAAAATTGAACTGAAGGAGGACGTTTTCACTGGAGAGTTTTGGAAGCCGTGCGAGTGGAGGAACCCACGAGGCCAGTGGCTGGGTCAGAGGTTTTTCCAATTTTATTTGGAGAAAGGCAAAAAATAAGAGAAGAAAAAGGGAGAACACGCAGGGATATTCTTTGCTCATAGACTGTGCAATCTGTTCAGTTCATATTATGCGAGAAATGTCTCTGTATGTAAATCAGTTGACCTAAATTTAGAAGGAGGCAGGGAAGTAAAATTAAACCTACAGAATTGGATAAGCCAACTAGATTCCTAACTAGTTCTCCAGGTGAGATTTCTGGCAGCAGAAAGTCGGGAGCCCAACCATAGAGACCGTTGTTTCCGCCTGGTCTCCATCAGTTAAAGCTGCCCTTCCATCTTGGAATACCCAGTTTTTGGTTTGGGCAACTGGATATATCTACTTCAGGGTGACATGGTGGCCGGAGGGCGATGGGCAGTCCTTGGGATCTCTGACCGCTATGCAGATCGCTTTTATATGGAAGGTTTTGTGTGAATTGGGAGTTAAAGGTTGGTTGTTGAACTCCGAAGGAGCTGGAGGTGAGGGAGGAAGAGCAAAGCGGGGGGTGGGGGAATAAATGGGGCGCTTTGCAAATGGTTCTGCATTGAGGGGATGTACGAGGTCCTCTTGGTTGTCTGATCGATTGTGGGGGGAGATGTTTCAGGAACGCTTGCCGTGACCTGGAGGTCTGTTGGTAGGGGATGGGAATGTGTGTTCATACGAAGATGATGCTGTGACACTGGCTGAGAATGATTTAGGCCACCCATGCTGGCTGGGGAATTCTGGGAGTTGACGTCCACGCATCTTAAGTGACCAAGGTTGAGAAACGCTGACCCAGGCCAGTTATCTGCCTGTGATCTCCAGTGCCTCCTGCGCTGGAGCCCCACAAGTGCTTTCTCCGGAGCCTGCTGAGAATGAGATGCCAGAGGCATCATTTGGTCTGGAAGGAGGGGGATCGGTGAGAGGCCGCCAAAAGTCAGATGGTGACCACAGATGCCTGAGGCACGTGAAAAGGGGCTTCAGTTGTGCAGGTGCCATCTTGACTCTTGACCCTCCCCACCGCCCTGCGGATGCTGCTGAAAGAGACGCAAGCAAGGGGGTGCGTCACGCTGCGGCCACTGTCCCCAGGCCTGAGATCGGGGGCCGGTTGCTGTGCGGCCCATTTTTTTGGTGGGGGGGAGTCGGAAGAGATGGGGGAGAGATCTAATTGCAGTTCTCCACCTGGGCCAGGGTGACGAGATTTTCCCTTTCTCCAGCAGGAGATGGGATCCGGATGGTGGAAGAGGGAGAGGGCAGAGGGGCAACCGAGCCCCCCGCAGCGCCGAGCGAGAAAAGGAAGAAGGGCCGCCCGCGGACCGTGGCTCCGGCTCCCAAGGCCGAAGGCGGGGGTCTCCCCCGGGTGACACTGAAGATGAACCCGCCCAAGTGCCCTGAGTGTGGCAAGAGCTTCCTGAGCAACGTGGCCATGACCATCCACATCCGGACCCACACCGGGGAGCGCCCCTTCAAGTGCCACCTCTGCCCCAAGGGCTTCCCCTCCCGGGGGGACCTCAAGCGCCACATCAAGACCCACCTGCGGAAGAAGACGCCCCCTCCGGCCACGGCCCGGAGCGGGTCTTCCAAGAAGAGCCTGGCGGCCAAGATGCAGCTGCTGTGCCACCTGCGCTGCCCTCCGGGGCCGAAGAAGCCCCACAGCTGTGCCCAGTGCGGGAAGAGCTTCAACAAGAAGCAGAGCCTGCGCAAGCACCAGGGGACCCACTCGACGGAGCGGCCCTTCGCCTGCCTGGAGTGCGGGCGCAGCTTCCGGCTGAAGCAGATCCTGGTGGCCCACATGACCTCCCACATCAAGGAGCGGCCCTTCGCCTGCGACCAGTGCGGGAAGTGCTTTGCGCAGGAGCGCAACGTGCGCAGCCACCAGCGGGTGCACACGGGGGAGAAGCCCTTCCTGTGCATGGCCTGCGGGAAGCGCTTCGGCTACAAGCAGCACCTGGTCAAGCACCTGCGCTTCCACACCGGCGAGCGGCCCTACAGCTGCGCCGACTGCGGGAAGACCTTCCGGGACAAGACCACCCTGAACATCCACTACCGCATGCACACGGGCGAGCGCCCCTACCGCTGCCCCTTCTGCAGCAAGACCTGCAGGCAGAAGCAGCACCTGAACAGTCACCTGAAGGTCCACCGCGGGGAGACGCTTCCCCCGGGGGACAGCACGGGCCTCAGCCTGCAGAGAGCCCGCGCCAAGGAGAAGCCCCACGAGTGCCCCCAGTGCCAGAAGCGGTTCCGCGACAAGAAGATCATGCTGACCCACCAGAAAACCCACAAGGAGGAGCCCCTGGCCAGAAGCGGCCCCGCACAGGGCAGACGGGGCCCGGCCGAGGCGGAAGGAAGGGCCGCTGGGGGAGGAAGAGGCGGAGGGCGGAGGCGGAAGGATGAGGGGCTCCCCTCGGGGCTCACGTCCATCCTGCCCGAAATGATCCCCGTCATTTGCACCGACTGCGGGAGGCGGTTCACACAAAGGAAGTACCTGACGCTGCATCAGAGGAGCCACAGATGAGGAGACGCCGGTTCCCGTTGGAATCTCGTCTGGAAAGACCCCTTGGATGGTGCACGACGTGGGCGCTTCCGGGGAAGAAGACGCTTCTGCACGGCAGCCCTGTGGAGGAGATGCCAGGGTTTGGGGCGAGCTCCCAGCAGAAATTTCAGGGCTCCGTACTGCGAGATAAGTTGCTTGACTGCAGACCCCGACGCAGCCTTGCCTGAGGCATTGCCCAGAAACGAAGCCCCCGGGACTGAAACCCTCCGCCGTTTCCTCCTGCCCTTGCGGGCTGACAGACTGCTGGCTGTTCTCCCCCCAGCGCTGAGACCAGAAAGAATGCCCCTCCTCCGGGATTCAGCCCTAGGTCTGGCTGGCCCGAGCACCGCCGGTTCACGTCTCACCTCCAGGCCTGGCCACGGAGGGACTTGGGCCATCAGGGCATCGGGACGGGCCTTGGCGCCGTCGCTCCTGGTTTCTTGGGCCTTCAGAAGCTCGTGAAGCAGCCCGAGAGACCCCCGGGGCCGAAGGGGAGCTTTGTCCCACTTGACTGGGAAGGGCGGTTCGCCTCCTCGTCAGCTCTGGGGCTGTGAAAAGCAGTGGCCGTCCAGCGCCTTGTGGCGTTTGTCCGTAAATTAATTACGCCCTGTGAAGAAGGCCCTCCTGTCCTGCGTACCCCCCTCACTCAATGGCTCTGGCGTAGCTCGCCGTTCCTGCGCCTTGGAAGCCTCTTGGGGCTCCAGCTCTTTGCTCCGCCAGGAGTTGCGGCAGAATTGCCCCGCCGCAAGAGCTTGTGACTTGGGCTTTCTCAGCTCCAGCAGGCTGGATCCTCACCAAAGAACCACACCGCATTTCAAGCCAGTTCCAGTAAACCAGACAATAAATACTAGGGGGGGGGAGGAAGTGAGTTTGAAAAGGTGAAAAAGGTAGGATGCAGACTGCAAAAAAAAAAAGCCAAGCCCCCAAGCCTGTTGGTGGCTGCGTGTAAGAATTGCACGCCTCTGCAGTGGGACCAGCCGATAGGTCCCCAGCCGCCAGCTTGGTTCCAGGTGCACGGCTGCCGCTTTGCAAAGGCTTCGGGTGCTGCTCTTGAAAACCGGAGCTGCTCGGGTGGCTTCTGACTCAAGAAAAGGTGCCAGCCAGACCTTTTGCAGGGAGCAGGTCCAGCCCTCTTCCTTCAAACAAGCTGAATAATTATGTTTACGTGGCGTCGGACTCCCAGCAACTCTGGGGGGTCTACCAATGGTTAAAAACATTTAAAAACAAGGGAACAGCAAAAACAGCACGAGAAACAAAGATGGCAGAGAAAACCAACCCAGATGGGAACAAAGAAAAAGGGAGCATTGGTCACTCTCACCAAAGGCCCGGGCAAAGAGCCACATCTTCAGGGCCCTCTGAAACGGGTAGGGTGGGGGACGTGGATCTTGGGCACCTCATTCCAAAGGGCAGGCACTGAGACAGAGAAGGCACGGTTCTGAGGTCCCAAGAAATGGCATTGTTTAATTGATGGAACCTGGAGTATGCCAACCCTGCCAGATCGGGTCAGCTGGGCAGATGCTGTGGGAGATGGGTGGTCCCTCAAGAAACCAGCCCTATGCCATGTAGGGCTTAGGAGGGAGCAACCACCACCTTGAATCACATCCAGCAACCAGCGCAGCTTGCAAAGCAGGGGTGGCATGTGAGCATACCAAGGCATGCCCATCACCGCCTGCACCATTGCATTCTGGACTAGTTGGAAGTTTGTGGATGGTCTTCGAGGGCAGCCCCGTGTAGAACGCATTGCAGTAGTCAAGCCATGAGGTGACCAGGGCATGAGTGACTGCCTGAAGGGCCCCCAATCTAGGAAAGGGTGCAGCTGGCACACCAAATGAAGCTGGCAAAGACCTTGCTGTCCACACCTGCTCATCAAGTAAGAGCTGTGAGTCCTGGAAGACCCCCAAATTGGCCACCACCCTTGAATGGGGTAGTGCCAACCTTCACCCAAAGTCAAAGACGGAATATCCCCCAATCTGGGCAATCCAAACTGCCACAGCTGCTCGGACTTAGGACTGAGTTGGAGATGGTTCCTCCCTGTTCAAAGCTGCAGGGCAGTGTTTCTCAACCTTGGCGGCTTGAAGACGGGTAGACCTCAACTCCCAGAATTCTGGGAATTGGCTGGGGAATTCTGGGAGTTGAAGTCCACGCGTCTTCAAGCCGCCAAGGTTGAGAAACACTGCTCTGGGCCCTGGGATAGAATATCAACCATCTCGCTGGGCCGCCCCAGATTCAAAATATACCATCATTGGTGTATTCGTGCCTTTGCCAGTTGTGGAAAGGGGAACAATCTTGGTGCGTGGGAGACACAGGCGGCTTCCTTGGCCCCAAGAAGACAGGGAGGACCTCAGCTTTGGGAGCCGAGGGCTGTGTTGGGCCCCTTAAAATGTGACCGCTCCCCAAATTCTCATGGAGCCAAGAGAAAAAGCAAAATCAGTTTGGCTGGTGTGGGTCTTCTGGGCTGTGTGGCCGTGGTCTTGGAGTTTTGTTTCCTAACGTTTCTCCAGCACCTGTGACCGGCATCTTCAGAGGGCAGGAGCACAGGCAGGAGTTCTGTCTGGGCATAGAGAGAACTGCTCCTGCCTG